TTGTCCAAGCCGATTCGGAAGGAGACAACGGATCAGTTCCTGCGCAAGGGCACGGGGTATGGTGGGCTCGCAGATTCGGAGCGAATTCACAAGCGGGACGAGTTGGTCCCGATCAGTCCCCGCAAAGAAAAACACCAGCCAGGGGCGTTCAAAGAGCGCTACAATCCGCCGGACACGTCGTTCCGCAAGTTTTACGAACGTGGCGACTTGCCGATCCAGTCAAGCATGTAACTCCTACTGTCACCGAAAATCCTGGCTCCGAGGAGAGGCTGTCGAGTTGTTCAAATTGTCTCGGGCTAGCGACCCCTCCATCCCACACCGACAAGCGCCATGCATCGGCAGCGTTGTGTTCTTGGCGCCGCCGTCGTTCCGACGGGGAGTTGCATCTGCTGGAGGCGCGACACGGACTTGGGTAAATATAGCCACAACTTGCAACGGCAACGAGGTATAAATAGGCTATCCTTTCGTTGACGCCAAGTGCATTCGTCACCGTCCTTGCGAAGCCGACATCGCTTCACCATGTCTGGCATTCCGAACCACACGAACCGCATCGTGCCGCGTACTCACGGGCTCAAGGAGACCGGGTCATGCTTTGACACGACGGAAGTCTTGCCGCGGGTAGTGCTTTTCTGCGCCGTCAACGCGTCACGTTTGTCCTTGTAGCGAAAACACCACGAAGACTCGAGTCACAATGATCCAGACTTGGTCCGGGCGTTCTCGTTGTCCAAGCCGATTCGGAAGGAGACAACGGATCAGTTCCTGCGCAAGGGCACGGGGTATGGTGGGCTCGCAGATTCGGAGCGAATTCACAAGCGAGACGAGTTGGTCCCGATCAGTCCCCGCAAAGAAAAACACCAGCCAGGGGCGTTCAAAGAGCGCTACAATCCGCCAGACACGTCGTTCCGCAAGTTTTACGAACGTGGCGACTTGCCGATCCAGATCGACCATGGCGGGGTGAAAAACCTCGTCGCGTGGAAAGTCGACATCACCAAGTTGGACTTTCATCACTACCTCCCCATCTTCTTTGACGGCCTGCGCGAGGTTGAAGAGCCGTACGCGTTCTTGTCCGAACAGGTACGTCGATGTCGTTGCCATGGCGACCGCGGCCCAGACAACGGATTGCTCTCCAGGGAATCAAGGACATGATGGTGAATGCAAGCTCTAAGGTTCTCCCTGTCATTCCGCAGCTGATCATCCCAATCAAGAGTAGTGCATCTCCGACGTTCGCGAGCACAATCGTTTGACGTGGTGACGCGTAGATGCTCTCAATACCCGACGTGCCGGCATTATTGTCAAGACCCTCCACATCTTGCAACTCATGGTCACTTGCGACAAAAAGCCTGGCGCTGACGGACTGAATGCCCCTGGTCTCATCGGGCAGGCGCTCGTGCCGTACTACCGCCAGATCCTGCCCATCCTCAACATTTTTATCCGCAAGAACGGTAGGCAGTTTGGGGAGTGCTGTCGCGACATATCCTGAACGTCGTGGCGACAGACAACTTGGGCGACGGCATCGACTACGCCCAGCGCAAGCAAGAAAACTTGGGCGACCTCATTCAGCAAACTCTTGAAACATTCGAGTCGAATGGCGGCGACGACGCCTTCATCAACATCAAGTACCTCGTCCCGACCTACCAAAGCGTATGTGTCGGGTGATCGGCCACAAAAACGAGTTTCAACTGCATAAAATCCCAAACCTAAATACTGTCGCGGATTCACTCGTCGTCGTTCGATGTCAGTGCGCGGATATTCGCCCGACGAGGCCGTGAGTCGATCCGTTGTCAGCACGCACCGTGCATGGCATCACTCTGTGCCCATTCTTTCGAGTCGCATTGTGTATCTGGGCTCGTTGTACGTTGACACGACTTGAGACATTTTCTGCTCGATATCACCTTCGCCTCCTCGAACAAGGTGCATTTCCATGGCTTAAACTCCAGTGGCGTCATACGTCATAAATGGAATGCATGCCCCGCAAACACCGTGTGAGTGGCGCTGCTTCCGAGGTCTGTTATAAACTCCAAGTCTTCGCATCAACCGACACCATCACGTCACTCAGCCCACCGTCTGTGCCAAGGACCGATATCGCTAGACATGGAAGGTCATATTTTTGTGGTGGCGTCGTGCTTGATTTGCACAGGATAAAGTGGTCGCCTCCGCCTCATCCAAGGAGAGGGCATCGCGCCCATCGCATGCGTGAACGTCGACATGCGAACCCCCAAGAAACTCTAAAGACCCACATACGCTTGAGCATTCAAATATCTTCAGCAGGGCCAGCGCCAACACGTAGCATCCCTCATCGCGTCTGGTCAAAGGCTCCATGGGGTCTGGCGTCGTCAACAGAGCTGTAAGTGGTGCTTCCAAAGGGATGTCGGCACGATGGGCATGATTGAACACACAACTGACTCATTCACGGCCGCCCGTCCAAAGTAGTTGCAATCGAGCACTTGTGCATGGCAAGGGCAGCCTCTAGGTCCTTTCACCATTTGGTCTGTCCATTTCTCTCGAATGAAGTCGGTTGTTGTCCTCACTGTGTTGGAGTTGCCCCTGAAGTAGTGAAAAAGTCACGGCCGCTGACTCTCCCCACCGTACACATTCGACAGCTACGGGTTGGTTGTTATACATGCTATTTTGATGGACTGGTGTCCTGCCGATGGGTCTCACGCGGTATGGCGCCGCCCGCCAAGTAGTCACTGCATACGAAGCTCATGCGCGTTGAAAGCGATCAGTCCTAGCTTGTCAACTATGTTAATCTGAGCCGTCGTTGTAATCGCTGTCGGGGGCGCTCGAGAACTCGTTGTCGTCCGTGTCGATTTCAGCCAACGGTTTGCGCACCCGCAAAGAGTACGACCGCGCGATGCCGCCACGGTCGCCAGTGCCGGGGCGGAACGCGCTGTCGTCGTCGCTACTGCTGCTGCGATCTATTTCCAAAAGCTTGAAGTTGATGCGCTCCATTTCGGCCAGCATGAAAGCCACTTCGTCACCGGACACTGTCGACGCGGCGGCTTCTTTCTTCGTCATGCCCTTGGTGCTGCCGTGGATGCTGGCCCAATGCTGCTTCATCGTGTACGTCCACAGCCACTGGCGGCACTTGGAGCACCGCAATGGCACATTCGTACACTTGGCTTGCGCAGCTCTCTTGACGACCACGGGGAAAAACCGCGGACAGAGTTGCGCGACCGCCACGTCGCCCACAGGAACAATCGTTGGTATTCCCGCTTCGACTTTGTGCTCGCACGTTGAGGATTCAAGGCCACACAATCCGCATCGAACGGCTGCAAACGACTCGGCTACGATGTGGGCGCCGACATGCTGTCGCATGGCGGCCCTCGCGACCACCAATCCGCACAGCAAACATGCGTCTTCCATGTGCGGCGTCAAAGAAGCTAGGCGGTGCTTGAGTGTCTCGATCTTCAATCGATTCCGCTCGCGGGGATCGCGCCATTCGTGCTGGATAAACGAGATCGGCTTGGTATGGCGACCCGTCCGTCGCGGAACAACCTCTGCCTTCTCGGCCGTCTTATGACGTTTTCGACATGCTTCAACCTCCGCCCGCGCCGCCTGGCGCTTTTGCTTGATCTCGTCCATGGCACGTATGAGCCCAAGGCTCTCCATCGCCTGCTTGTTGCGCAGCATCTTGGCCACGCGCTGGCGCTCGTATGCCGACACGTTGTCGTCCTCCGCGTCGGCCATGTCTAGTTATCCGGCGACATCCGCATAGAGATGTCACCTGTGGCGAAACGACGCATGCATGCCGACGACGTGGCTGGCCATGGGAGGCCACGGCTGGTGTAGTCGAAGTCGGGCAGTTCTGCAGTTCGCATCGCTGGAGTCGAGTTGGCTAAAAGTCTGCCAACATTGTCTGGTATCTTGTTTTGCAGCAAGTGTTTGGCACCAGTCAGTGCCGGCCACTTCACACGTGGCGTCGCCGAACATCCCATGGTGGTCTCCCTGCAAGCAATTTGATTGCCGTCGAGTGTTGCTGGATGGGTCTGCTCGGTTGCAAATGGAATTCGTATCTGGCACGACGCGATCGTCGATGGCACGTTCGCGTGAAACACCTTGCATGTGTATACTTTCCACACACACGTCACCATGGCGATGACAGCTACCATTCAAGAAACGCTACGTTTACTACTTCTTCAGCATCCCTTGCCGCCCGCAATGCGCAAGCAACTTGTGCTGGGGAAAATCGACAGGATATTTGTTGTGACATTCCACGTGTATCCGATGACGAACACGACGAGCACGGTGGCGGCCGCCGAGGCGCTGAGACTTCCCGTGCGCTTGAGCACTGCTACGTACGCCTTTTGCCGTGGCATGAGCACCAAGAACACGAGGGA